TGGGCGTGCGCGTGCATTGGATCGTGAGAGAGGTGCCAGGCTGCAGATAAACGCATAAAAAACCTGGGATCTGCCCAAAAGCTGGTCCTCCAAAAGGAAATAAGCCAGAACCCACCACCTTCAAATCACGACCAACCGGAGGTTGTTTAAGCAGTGCGGTTGGGCGTAAGCTAGCTAGCGCAATTCCTGGCTGTTGGTTTAGTGCCACAAATGGAGCTATCTAACCATCCATAGCTTGAGGTTGAACGCTCCCTGAGCACTTGCTGAGGCTCCTGTGCGTCCACAGAGACCTGGACTTTGAGGCCGAGGGGCTCAGCCCCTTGATCCTGCGAGCGGGAGCAGGCGCAGGCAGGGCGCAGATGGCTTTTGTTTTCGCCGATCTTCTTTTTGCTTGGATTTGGGGCTAGAATCTACAGTTCCGGCCTGGATGGCAAGATGACAAATCATGAGACTTGTTGAGTCATAGACTTGATTCAGGATGTTATCCTGATATAGCCGCATTTCTGAGATCCAGCTACACGAGGTCTTTTCGAAGTTAGCCAGCCGCAAGGGCCTGGGTTGGATTATTTTTGTTGGAGACATGTGTCGGGCTCACCTGGCTTTCAAGTCCCCGAGCCACTGCAAATCACTAGTTGAGGTAAATGCAGGTGCCCGATTCTATGCCTGATTGGGGTCTCCATGTTGCTGCTAGATTCAACGCGCTCGCTCGTGGAGTTTGCAAGCTACGGATTGGAGGGTGGTTTTGCGGACCCATCGCTTTAAGCATTGAACGAGACGCAAAAAGAACAGCAAGAGAGGGATTGCTAGGGCCACCGCAACGTCCAACCGTTTTCCAGATGGGATTCTCCACTGGCACAAGGCATCGCCTGGGTGTGCATTGCATTGTGCTTCGAGGCAGGGCTCGCGGTCCTCTGGCTGGGCGGCCAATTTCTTGAACAGGGTTTAGGGCTCACGGGGCGAAACCAACTTCTTGGTGGCCCCAGGCCATGCTGGAAATTTGGAAATTGGGGATCAAGCCGCAAATCTCCCCATAAGTTGGAAGCACAAAAGCTTGCTTGGTCTTAGCAGGACTGTGCGCAGGGAACGTGACAGGGACTCTTGGCCAACCACTTGCCAACCACTATGGGGCTCTTGTTGTATGGGACCACTATTGGGTTCTTGCATGGTGTGCCTATATTCCCTAGCAAGAGCAAGCAAGCAAGTTGTCCTATCACTATCTGCGTCAGGACCCCAGCGGTACGGGTTCGTGGTGCAATCCGCTGACCAAGGCGCAAGACTTTGCCTCTAGGGGGAGTCTTGGGACCTGCGTGGGTCCCATGTTTGTGGCCACCGCCTTCACGTCGATGACGGGCCTCGCGGTGTTCGCGAGGTACGCGCCTCGCCGGCTTTCGTGGGAGGAGTTGACCATGGCTACATGGGACATTCTCCAAAAGGTGGACCCCCTTTTGGTGGTTTGCAAGGCCAAGAGGGAACGAGAACTCTTATTAAGGAGCGCCATATGGGTATGAGCGAAATTAAACCACCAGGGGACCGCAGGTTTTAGTCCATGTTTCCATTTGCCAGGATTCCACCGGTTACCCGATTTTTCACCCACAGCCATATGGGCGTTCAGGTCGTTTGGAGGTGTTTGGCTTATATACCACGTACATGAGGGGAGTAGGTAGCATATGCAGACTCATCTAAACATGGCCTCGACTTGCATGGATCGAACACGAGACACATCCATATTCTGTGTCAAATCTCAAAGTCCTGCTTCCACTTCAAGATGTTCATCCCCATTTGCTTGTGCTTGATCTGCTCAGCCCTGCAGGTTTGAGCCCGGGATGGCAGGTGTCTGGTGTCTGGTAGGCCCTGAGGCCCTGCAAAATGCGAGGATTGGGTGTTCGCCAGCCTGATGAGCGTGGCTCTCTTGGACATGTGGAGGGCCGCCGTGTTGGAAGGCAGGGCTTGGCTTTTGGAACTGAGGGAGCTCCGCGACAGCAACTGAAAAACACTGGGCTCCACCAGTTCCAGCTGTTTTTTTTGTGTGAGACCTCTTTCTGTGACTGTCAGGGGGGAATCCCCTTTCAAGTGACCGCGTAGTCATTGAGATGGTCTACTTTGGTGTCACGGTTAGGCTCGTTTTCCACATCGAGCCTAAAAAGTTCGAGCTTCAATATTGAACCCAGGAATGTCCAGGCGAGATTTGAGGGCTTCGAGTGACCTTCCTCGCCTGCCATGCTGGAAATGCTCCCGGTGCAAGGGATGGGGCCCAGATGGTTTTGGCTTAAGAAGCCTCAGGGGCAGAGCATTCTGGGCCGGGGTTTGGGCGCTTTTGTGGGTTCCCTGAATGTCGCCCAGAGTCAAACCTTCCAAACAAATCGCGATGCTTCCTGAGGTTGACTGAAGTTTGGCCATTCAAACTCAAATCTTGGATCTAAAGATTGCAAGTTTCCTCTTAACGCCCCTTTGCAAGTATCCAAATAGGGCCCCATTTTAGGACAGACCCAGATGTGCGACCATCTCATAAGTAAAGGCAAGCGTGTGAGAATCTGCTATTCAAAGGGTGCTCGCTGACAATCAGTTTTTTTCCCGGTGGAAAGAGAGGTAGGGCCCCAATTTGCTCTTTCTAGGTTTGGCAATCTTAAACCCAGCTCAAACCCCAAAGCAACGCCAAACCAACCCGAAACCAACCCTAAACCAACCCTAAACCCACCCTAGCCAACCCCAAACAAACCCAAAGCAAACACTATACTAACCCTGAACGAGCGTCACACCATCCCACCAAAGCCAGTTCTGAAATACCCTAAACCAGCCCTAAACAAACCCGAAGCTAAACCAGCACTCCGGCCCCCTGCCCTAAGCCAAGCCGAAATGCACACAACCCACCCTAAAGCAGCACTAAACTCACCCTGAACCTTCCCTACACAAAACCTATTCTGGGGGTGTTGACGGTGCTGGCATAAAGCAGGTGCATTTTGGCCAGAAAATGCAATGAAATACGGCATTTTATTTCCTTCCCCCCCCAACCTAGGCTTCGAGAGACCCAGCCCAAATACTGAAAGCATGGTTCCTTTGGGTACGGACCGCGGTCAAACCAGAAGCGACACAAAGCAAGGTGATTCCATAGGAATGCCGCCTCTCAAGCCGTGCGAGCTGTTCGGCGCAATTCGAGGGGACATATAGAGCCACCGGGCGTAATGCCCCACATCAATGATTTCTGCTTACCCTCAATACGTCGTGGGGTATGATAGATGCCCTAAGCTTTTTGCAAGTAGAGGCTTAAAGAGTCCTTGCAATTTGCTGCAAATTACCATGGTTGTTCGGTCTACTTGAACACACTAAGGACTGCTCTTTTTGGCGCGTTTCATTTTCCAGTGGCCATTTCATGTGTTTCGAACCTTTTGCGCTGTTTGCCTCTTCCACTGATGTGTCGCTTCGTCGTTCACAGGTTTTTTTCTCTGACGCCGCGGCAGGTTCGAACCCCCTCGGCGCGAAGCGGTTTCGCAACGGCGCGCTGCTCTGCGCTGTCTTCGCGGCAGTGGCGCTGCGCTGCGCCTGGCGCCGCAACCGGCGCAGCCGGAAGGCGGGGCGGGCGGGCGGGCGGGCGGGCGGGAGGAGGGGTGGGCTAGTGGGTGAGTTGGTTGGGTTGGTTGGTTGGGTTGGTTGGGGTTGGTTGCGTTTGGTTGGGTTTTTTATGTTTGGTTTGTTGTGGGTGGGTCCATCTACCTCATACGTTTTGCCTTGTCAGTTTGGATCTACTTGTCGCCACCCTCGAGGGGAAACCGCTTCTCTCCGTCCACGAAAGCGTGTGAGGAGAGCTTCGATTTCGCCCCGCGGATCAAGCGGGTGGACAGCAGCGTGGAGGACTTCTGAGTCGTCTTCCGGCTTTTCGTCTTTTTCTCTGGCCCAAGGGAGGGAGGAAACCCAAGTGTTTTTGACTTGTTCCTTGACCTTCCATTCCAACTTCATCCCATGCCTTTGCTTCCAGGTCTTGGTTTCACCTCCCAGCATTTGGGCTCCCTTGGAGGGAGCTCGGCATGTGCTCCCTTGGGCCTTCACGTCAATCCGAACGCGAACGCGACTCGGATGGTTTCACACCGTGGCGTAGGCTTGAGGCGAAGACCAGAGGATCAATGCAGTTAAGCCGGAGCTATCCGACCGCAGAATCACATGGCGCCCAAAAAGGGGCTTTACCCAAAAGGAGAGTAAGCAAAACGCGGATTCGCTTTGCGGGTTTCAAGATGGGCGCGGCATCGTGTTTCTTAGCTCGGCCACGGAGCAGGGTGGCTCAAGTGGGACAGAATACCCTCGGGGACTCACAAGCATTTCACGCAGGCGACCGCAGCCTGGGGTGCCGTGGTCAAAACTTGACCTGGAACATGGCCCACATGGCCCTAATTCCCGATAAAGCTCAAGCAAAGAGTTCGTTTGACCACGGTGATTTGATGTGGTGCAGTGATGGCTTGCACAGGGCGCACTGCCATCGAGCGAGCCGCGTGCGCAAGAAGGAAAAGATGGGTTAGAAGGGTTGCTTGCAAACATTCTGTGTTGACTGGTGGGAGAGAGCACTTGAGAGATCTGGATTCGAACCACTTGATGTTTAAAGCGTTAGACCACGCCCAAGCCCACGAGTGAATGGAGCCAAAAAAAGCGACTAAGCTGCAAGACGTCCCCTCCTACTTAGCATGAACCCGCGACAAAGCATGTAAGATTCCACTGTAGAAGGCTCGTCCAGAGTGCCATCCAAATGGGGTTCCAGCAAGCTCCCTTCACCAACATGCGATCTGAAGAGGGGTCTCGCATTTGTCTCGATGCTTCAGCCTTTCGAAGTGGGCCATATATTTTAAGCAACTGTTTGACCTTTGTGACCCGTCTTGAGCATGCGTCAACGCCCAAGCAAAGAAGCATACACGGAGGAAACACCACCCAAGAAACATCAACAAACAAGCTCGTATTGAAAGGGAGCGCCGTAGATTCGACTCCTTTGCCCCAAAAGGCCGCAAGGGCATCACGGGCAGGTGCCTTCAGAGGTGCTGGTTTTGCACGAGGCCTCCCGGTGCCTCCCCGCGCCTCGGTCAGCGCTTACCACTCTGCGGACCTGGGCATGTCGTTTCTGTTGTATGTTTTTTGGTTTTCCCGAAAGCATCGCGAAGGGTTCTTCCGTGCGGAGCCCTTGGACAAGTTACATAGAGCCAAGTTACATAGAGCCAAGTTACATAGAGCCAAGTTACATAGAGCCAAGTTACATAGAGCCAAGTTACATAGAGCCAAGTTACATAGAGCCAAGTTACATAGAGCCAAGTTACATAGAGCCAAGTTACATAGAGCCAAGTTACATAGAGCCAAGTTACATAGAGCCAAGTTACATAGAGCCAAGTTACATAGAGCCAAGTTACATAGAGCCAAGTTACATAGAGCCAAGTTACATAGAGCCAAGTTACATAGAGCCAAGTTACATAGAGCCAAGTTACATAGAGCCAAGTTACATAGAGCCAAGTTACATAGAGCCAAGTTACATAGAGCCAAGTTACATAGAGCCAAGGTTAGGTAGAGCTTAGAGCTTCGGCGTTAGCAGCTATGTAAGTTAGTTTAGGTTTCTAAGGCGCCGGGGCGGGAGTTTGATCGTCGCTCGGGATTGCGACCCTCTGCGGAGATTCGCGTGGTCGAGGTTCAAAAACTGAGGACTTTTTACGATTTTTAGCATGCGCGCGCGACCCTCTGCGGAGATTCGCGTGGTCGAGGTTCAAAAACTGAGGACTTTTTACGATTTTAAACCCTCTGCGGAGATTCGGGTTACGATTTAGCGCGCGCGCGACCCTTGCGGAGATTCGCGTGGTCGAGGTTCAAAAACTGAGGACTTTTTACGATTTTTTGCATGCGCGCGCGACCCTCTGCGGAGATTCGCGTGGTCGAGGTTCAAAAACTGGGGACTTTTTACGATTTTGCATGCGCGCGCGACCCTCTGCGGAGATTCGCGTGGTCGAGGTTCAAAAACTGAGGACTTTTTACGATTTCTGCGGTGCGCGCGCGACCCTCTGCGGAGATCGTGCGCGTCGAAGCGCTCTCGCTGTGGCGCCGTGCGAATGTGTCTTAGTCTCGGCGAACCCTCTGCGGAGATTGTGCGTGTCGAAGCGCTCTCGCTGTGGCGCCGTGCAATATTCTTGCTCGCGAAACGGCCTTTGGAAGTTGTCTCGTGGTTTGCGCGCCTGCTTTCGCAATCCCGCGGTCGCGGGTTCGATTCCCCCCTGGTCCGCGGCAGCTCCGGCTTGAAAATCGCAGCTTTTAAGTACAAACGTAGTACGCGGAGCGTGCTCCTGCAGCTCCGGCTGGAAAATCGTACAGACGTAGTGCGGAGCGTGCTCCCGCAGCTCAGGCTGGAAAATCGCAACTTTTAAGTACAAACTTAGTACGCGGAGCATGCTCCTGCAGCTCCGGGTGCAAAATCGCAATTTTTAAGTACAGACGTAGTACGCGGAGCGTGTTCCCCCACCTCCGGCTAGAAAATCGTAACTTTTAAGTACAGACGTAGTGCGGAGCGTGCTCCCGCAGCTCATTCTGGAAAATCGCAACTTTTAAGTACAAACGTAGTACGCGGAGCACACCCCCGCAGCTCCGGCTTGAAAATCGCAACTTTTAAGTACAAACGTAGTACGCGGAGCGTGCCTGCAGCTCCGGGTGGAAAATCGCAATTTTTAAGTACAGACGTAGTATGCGGAGCGTGCTCCCGCAGCTCAGGCTGGAAAATCGCAACTTTTAAGTACAAGCGTAGTACGCGGAGCACACCCCCGCAGCTCGCAGAGCAACTTGCGCAGAGTCACTTGCGCAGAGCAACTTGCGCAGAGCAACTTGCACAGAGCAATTGCACAAAGCACTTGCGCAAAGCGCTTGCACGGAGCAACTGGCGCAGAGCCCTTACGCAGAGCAACTTGCTCAGAGCACTTGCGCAGAGCAACTTGCACAGAGCAGGCGCAGAGGAACTTGCACAGACCAACTTGCGCAGAGCACATGCGCAAAGCGCTTGCGCGGAGCAACTGGCGCAGAGCACTTGCGCAGAGCAACTTGCTCAGAGCACTTGCGCAGAGCAACTTGCACAGAGCACTTGCGCGCAGCAGCTTGCAGAGAGCAACTTGCGCGCAGCAGCCTGGAACAATGCAGCTTGCGCAGACCACTTTCGTGAGAAATCGCGCGGCGCAGTTCGAGAGGAAAGTAGGATGATGAGATGGAGCTCACATGTGACCATACACACTGAGCATCGCCGCGCGCAGACACGCTCGCCGCAGCGATGTAAAAAGGTGTCTCCGCGGCTGGATGAGCACCTGTGGAAAAATGCTTTCGGGCCAGTCGTCCTCTAGTTTTTTTTTTTTTTTTTTTGGGGGGGGGTGTTACTGCATGGTGGACGCTTGGAGGCGATTTTGCACACCAGCTCCCAGCCGGCTTTCTCTTGCAGAGGTGATGTTGGGATTGCAAGTTTACATTTAACAAGGCGGTTGCCTGGCATCACAGTTTGCACAAACAAGCGGACTGCCTTCCGCAGTTTCCAAAAACAAGGCCGGAAGGTTTTTTTTCTTGAGGGGGGGTTCGATTGGGAGGATTGGATGCTCGCTCTTAGCAATTTGGAGCCAGCAGCCGAAAACCGAGAAAAAGCGAAAACGCTGGGCTCTTGAGGTGATGTGGGACAAGGTGCAGATCCCGGGGCTGCCGCTGCCACAGGTCTGGGATGCCGCGAAGGGCTTCCCCGGGGCCCCAGGAATCGAGCTGGTGGACAGCTTCCAGGTGCGACTGGGGGAGCTGTTCCTTAGGGTTCAAAACTTTGATTTGGCTGAAAAATGAAGAGGTCTTCTCCCGGTGGCTAATGCTTTTTGAGGTTGAATATCAACCCAGGTCCTTGGCACGTGTGTTTTGGGGTGTGGGAGCCACCACTGCTGAAGAGCTAGCGGTTGCCAGGACTTGGTCAAGGCTCAGTGTGTTTAGGGTATGAGTGGCCAAACAAAGAAAGTGAAACTTTGATTTGCAGAGGCAGTGGAGTGCCTAGTTTCACGACACATTTCTTCACAAGCTCGTTTGGAGAATCAGTCATTCGTTACATGTGCTTGCATGGGGCCCCCTCATAGTTGGCTTCGCGTTGGGGCCACGACGGGGTCCTCATCAATGTTGACCCCAGATCTAGACAGGCGGATGACTAAGTGGTGTTTTCACGATAAGCGAAAGGTTTCCCTTGTTTTCCTTTAAGACGGGTCCTTTGTCAATGTCACGCAAAGTGTCCTCTGCTGTCATCGAGCGGGTTGCCCTTCCACCCAGCCACCACCCATGAAGCAATCCGCTTTCTGAACTGGGCTGAAGATGTCCTCCTCTCCTGCCAACTCACGTGGACGATCGTGAAAGGTTCCAATAACGTTTTTTTTGGAGAGAACTTGCTGGAACAGCGCAGCCCATCTGGCTTCTCTATTTTGCTTGGCAGCTGCTTCTCGCACGCGAGGCATGACATGTGTGCATCGCATGGGATGGCAGGTGTCACCTCACGTCTAGTTGGAAACAGACGGTGCTGGTTTCAGTTTGGTTCCAACAAATTACCAGTACCATCTGGTCCATTTGCTCGTTCCAAAAGCGCACCTAGCGCAAGTACGCCCGACGAAAAGGCAAGTACTGAAGCAGCCATGAAGTGCTCTTCGCATGGGGTTTCTTTGAGCACTGTTGGCCAATGACCCCGCGCAGAGGAGGAGCACCAGAGCAGCATTAGAGGAGCTCTAGAGGAGCACTAGCAAGCCAGCATGCAAGCGGGCGAGCGCGCAAGCAAGCAAGCAAGCAAGCATCGTCACGCATTGTCACACTTTGAATCCTACTCGGGCTTTGAGCGGGCCGGCCCGCCCACCCAGCCCCAGAGGTGCATCCTGTTTGTGCTCGCCTGAGCTTGGCCATGATCGCCCATGAGATGTCCAAAGTGCCGTACCCCATAGGCGAGGCCATGTTTGAGCCCATCGGCGCTTGGTAACAAGGGGCGCTTTGGTGCTTGCTTCGCCTTCTGCAGCAATGGATTGATTAATCACGGACATGTGACTAGGGGTAGCCTTTGGCAAAAGGGGGCGTTTGCTGGAGAGTTCCGGCAGTCTCCAGGCCGATGCTGTTGGGGTGCCTTTGTTTTTGGTGACAGATGCGCCCACACACAAAAAAATAAAAGCAAGACAAAGCATGGCAACCACATGACCAACGCAACGTTTCGCTGCCAAAGGCGAGTTCCCTTTCTTTCACGTCCGCCGTTACTGCCAGGCTGGAGCAGTACCTTCGATCTTATGAAGAAAGGCCGCTGGGCCGAAGTGGAAGTCGCGTTGAGACTCAGCATTTTCTTTTGGGTTCGATGCTTGTCTGCGGGGGTGCAATTGGAGACTCCCCACAATGTTCGCTTCCAATCAAAGCAAGCAGCAGCTGAGGCAATCCCCAATGGATCTCTAAGCATCTCCTCGACTACTGCCTGAACCCGGACTCTGCGGTGTGCCCTGCCATGACGCCAGCCCCACCTGGCAATGGATAAGCTTGGCGCAAACGTTGGCTTTTGAGGGCCAAAAGTCCATGGGATCATACAGGAGGCCATACAATCAGCCTCTGCGAGACTGGCAGTCGCTTGCATCGCCTCATCTCCCACTTACAGCAGGTAAGCAGTGGATGACAAGCCTTTTTTCCCGCAACGCAACGCAGATCTGTTTTTTCTTTTGGCGTGCTGGCACCCGCGTTTTGTCATGGCCCCGAAGGCTTAGGGTACCTTTTTGTTCCTTGTGTCCAGGCGTTCGGGTTGGCGAGGTGGGTGTGCATTTTGGAAGGGCACCCCTTTTTGGGTTGCTTTAAAGGGGTCTAAAGGACAAAATCGGAACCCGCCCTTTGGATCGCCTGGCATTTTTTTAGGGCTGTTTCAGGGGAGCCTGCTGGGAAGCCTTTCCGAAGTGGAGGCGAGCCACATACCATGTGGGCCTTATAATAGGTTAATAAGCGGTTGGCTTCCCTAGGCGTAGCCACCATTCAGACAAGACAACACATGAGCCGAGGTGTACCTCCTTCACTGTGTGCTGGGCGCTGATTCTGCGGCACGTCACCAAGTTGGTGCACCGCTTCTGCAACGAGTCGGCACGAGCCTTTCCTGAGATGCCCATCTTAGACTGACCTCGTCCCTCACACCTACGTTCCACATGGGACGCGAGATGGAGATCCTCGGGCTCCCGGATGGGAATGCCCTGGGAGGTGCTGAGTTTGCCGGCTCCTTGAGTTCCACTACGAGTCTGCGTCTGGCTCGGCAAGACCTCGGCCATTAGGGCTGGCTCCTAGAACCCTTGGCAGACGTTGGGAAAACAGGCAGGATGATTGAAAGATGCCTTTGTCTAGCTGCTGTCTCAAAAAGGCCGTTTTCCCATTGTTTCTTACCAAACCCATCCCAAAGGGGCAGACCCCTGCGTGGAAGTGGAAAATCGGCTGCGCAGCTGCAGAACGAGAGCGGGAGCTGTGGAGTTGAAAGGGGGGGGGGCCAGGGCTTTGCGGCTAGCGATCTATGAGGACGTGTTGCTTTTCTTCGATTCTCTTGCTGTAGCACTGCAAAACCCCCTGTTGATGCTTCCGTTTGCTCACTGCTTTCCCCCTTTTGGTTTTGAATGGAAATTGCCACAACTGGTGAATATTTCATTTGGTTGAAGAGATGCAAGCTTCCTTCCTTGTCGAGAAAATATTTTTGCAACAACTTTTGTTGATGTGAAGGGTCTGACGGATTTGGGCTGACGATAGAAACGTTTGAGACCTCAACAGAAAGTCGGGGGTGGTATAGAATTGGCCTCCATATTAGGCCAACCAGGGTCCTCATAGTACTGTAGGTTTGTCCACAAGACGGTACCCTACCGTACTACCCCAGGTACCCCGCACAGATGTTGCGCCGCATTTTACACAGGGTGAAATTGAGCCATTTGGATTCGCGGGCCTAGCCTTCGCCTGGTCCAGAAGATCCCCCCGGGGGTGCTTTTTGGATGCATGCCTCCAAGGGCACCTGTAGGGAGCGAGTCGCGCGGAACGGGCGGGAACGTCTTGCGCCCCGAGGCCCTGGCCACACTTTGCCTAGCACAGGCTGGCCGACTTCGCAGGCGGGCCCCGGGGCCCGGGGCCCGGGGCCTGGGCGGGCTTGGTTTGGGCATGGGCTTACTTGTTCTTGCTTTGAGTTTTGGGGGATGCCAAGGTGACCTACGGTGGAATGAAGTCAAGTTCATTGAACAAATGCACACACATTCCATCAAATACAGAATTACCACCTAAGTTCAATGGTTTCACATGATTTATCAATGTATTTGTTTCAACCCAACAATAATTATACACTTTTGTCTATGCAAGTTGCTTGTTGTTTGAACAAAACTGTTTAGCAAAGAACTGCTTGGTATCAGACATGTTTTGTTTAATGATAGCAAAGATAAATGTGCTAAGTAAGACAGATCCAAGACAATGAATCATTGTTCCAACGGTTTTACATACTTCTCTTGAGTGTTCATATATGGTGAGCAGGCTTTTTGAACAAGGGCCCTGCTTCTGGCAACTGCCAAGCTGCACGAGGTCTCGGCCCTTCAGGCAGATCTTGCACAACCACCAGGCTGTGCGCAGCGAATCTGGCGTTGCTGTTTCGGGCTCCTGTTTAGCATAGTCAGACTTCCAAAAGGTGATCAAGCTTTATTTCGAGGTCCTCTGGGCATGCGAGCCTAGGATCTGGATCCTCCGCGGCATGTTCATGTTGACTCCCGGGAACATGCCAAACAAGAGGTGTCCGATTTCAAGCCACGCATCTCCGTGCCTTTAGTGGGGGAGGTTTGCATTGAGTTCTTGAGGACGTGCAGTACTTCGCTGACTTCAAGATCGGGGGCCAAGCCATCGCAGCCATCTTTGCTGCTTGGCTTCACGGCGGTTTGGAGCTCCCCTGCGAAATGTCATGGAGAAAAGGGCACCGTTCCCAATGGGAGGCCTCTGAAAACAACAGTCTTTGGCTCCATAGCAATCCAACCACAGGCGGCTACTGCAAGTAGTTTAGTGTGTCTCGCGCACATTGAACAGACACCGCTCATAATAGAGAAAACAGGGGGTTCAAGCTGAAACACTCTTTCTTTTTTCTTATGGGGGGTAATCCCATTCTCCCTTGGTCTCCTTCGTTCCATGCCCCCCTTGTTTCAGGCGACGCCAATTCTTCGGGTGGCCAGGACACCGGCTCCTTCGAGATCGTGGTGCGGTCTTCCCGGTGCACACGCTGCGTGCACCCCACGGCGCCCTATGAGCACGAGCACAGCAAGACCTACCAGGTGGGTTTCATCGGGGGTTTAGGGTTTCATGTGTTTTGTTTATGCTTGGGTTCTTGGAATCTGGGGGTTTCTTCCTGGGGTAGGTGAGAAAATCGAGTTTTTGGTTGCCACTTCCGTACCAAGGGAAATGCTTTGCAGTGATCACGTTGTCATGAGTGTTATTTTCCCACAGCTATATGTGAGCAGATCCATTTTCCCCCTTGTTCCCCCCCTTTGCTTCCCCACTTCTCTGGGATTCGAGGTCTGTCCACTTTGCCAGGGAACCACCTAGAGAGTCCAGGTTGCCGGGCCTTGTCTCCAGGGCTTGCGCCGAATGTGGCGGCTTTCCGTTTGTTTGCTCCATGTAAAGGTCTCTGACGTAGTGGTTTTGACTTGCTTTCCCCTGGTTTGTGTTTTGTTTGATTTCGCGAGGAGAACGGCACTCTAACGCAGCACGTGTACGGGTCCGGACCCTGTACCACAATGCTGGGCTATGACACCGTGCAGGCCTGGCTTCGCTGCTCGCCCCTAACTTGTTGCAGGTTCCATGTTGCTTCAATGTTTGGCGACACCTTGCATCTTTGCCTTCTGCACTGATGGTTGTTGGAAAGGTTTGATGCCTGTTTTTTTTTAAGGCATGCCATGGGGATGCGAATCAAAATGAAGCGGGTGAATGGAAGCTGGGCCCAACACCGAGGCCTCTCGGCATGGCTGGCTGTTGTTCTTCTTGAAGGGCCTTCCAAAATTCCCACATGTGCACATCCTAAGATGGTGCATCTTGACACTGTAAGGAACTGCACCGAATATACTCTTTGCTTGGGCAAGGCACGGCAGCATGCTTCTCCACTATCACCCAGCCAACATGAGGGAAGACGTCTCCGGAAGCTTCCTGAGTACGTTGAACAGTCACTGCGCCCAACCACAGCATCTATCCGTACGCACGTAAATGAGCGTAAACGGCGGACGCACTTGCAGGCTGACATGCGCAAACGCAGGCGTAGATATGTGTGCCAACATGCAGCGCGTTTCTGCATGCGTTTCTGCATGCGTTTCCGCATCGGCATGCATGCGACCCGCCCCAGTTGTTCACGTCTCGAGCTGAACCCGCACCAGGGGGCGCCACTTTAGAGGGAGCCACCGTGGCACACTGCCACCAGCAAGTCGGAGCATACATGCTCGCAAGTTACCGCAAGTTATGATGGCCTTACGCGTGCTTGCAAATGTTTGTTACCTGCGTGTATGCATTTTGCGTGTCATGCATGCGTGCACGACTGCGTGTATGATGCGGGCAAGCTCCGGTCAGGTCGGGCCGAAGATGGTGGCAGTGCACCAGCCCATCTGGGAGCGACTCGGGCGCTCAGGTCGGTTGCACGGGTTTAAATCAGACCGTGGCCCCCTCAACAGGGAGACCTAAATGGTTCGAGGGTCGTTTGGGAGAGGTGACCTATGGGGCTTGTATGCAACACACCGATTGAAGGGCCACTGAACCAGCAGGGCCCCACAAATGCCCCAAATGAGTTTTTGCCAGATCCCAGGATTGTCGAGCACGAGATCCCGATCTTGGACACCGCCAAGTTCGCGGCAATCGTGGGGATCGGTCCCAAGTTCGGCTACAACTCGGTGCAGCTGCTCGCCAGTGCAAGGGGAGGATTTGACGCTGCGATCTTGTGCAGAGGGTGCTTTATAAGGCATCACGTGGCAGTTTCATGGCACTTTAGTGATGCAATGCATGGCCCATGTATTGGTAGCAGCCAGTTTCGGTTGACTTTCAGTTGTGAGTTCGACTTTCCACATTGGGGCCATTGGAAAATGCGCAAATGGCGGCTGGGCACTCCTCGTGAAATGCCGTACATGCTTTTTGTTTCCGTGACATGTGCAGCAACCACAGGGGTCATGTTGAACATGTGCTGCCTGTTCTTTTGGCAGATCCTGAAGTCCATGTGCCGCACTTGGCATTAGTGAGCGAAGGGACATGCAGAAGGGGCACTTGAGCAGAGCAGGTTGCGGGGATCAGAGCGGGTTGGAACCAGTCAGATTCCGAACCAAGGAAGACCTTGCTGATGAACTATCACGTGCCTCGGCTTAAAATGCTTGGGGTGTGCCATGAGTTTCTCTCATGTTACTCTCAGACGGCAGGTGGATGAGTTCTCCATCTGCCTCAACAAGGACAGGGATGGTGGGAAGGTCGGCAGCTGGCTAGGCTGCGACTTGCACGTCAAAGATTGGTCTTAGGAACTGGAGGGGGGAGATGAAAGGCCATTTTTTAAGATCGTCCCGAGGCAGGCTGAAACCCAGGGCTTCCCTTTTTGCGAAGAGCATCAAGACTTCCCTGGGTCGCTCGAACCACCCTGGGTTGAAGTCGGCCTTGTTTGCGAAGCTTTGTGCAGGAGTCCGGCAAGAACGGCTACCTCACCTGGGGTACCGACGTTGTCCACATGGAGCCTTTGCGTGGGGTTTGACGCCAGAAGTGAGACAACCTTCGCCAATTGCGCGGAGAGGCCTATTGGACAATTCAATAATACTTCCAACACTCGCATAACAACTTATGTTGGGGGCGTGCCCCCGTTCCCTTCCGCAGTCGCGGCATGAACAACTTGGCTGGCCCACAGTCCGCATCTGCTCAACCTCCCCTTCAGTCGTAGCTGGCGTTCCTAAACGCCCGGTTTGTATTGACTCTGTGACTTGCCCTGCAAAAAATCAGAGAGCCAAAGAACCCCCTCAAGGAAAAAAATACCGAAATGTTCCACCAAACCCTCGCTTGCCCATTGCCCTTTTCTCCGAGGAGCCGGAAGATGTGGCCACGGCCCGGGTGTTTGGCAAGCACCACTGGGCCACCAACCTGAGCCACATCGCCACCAAGGCGGGTGAGCCAAGCGAAAAGCCCCCCAGCACGACCAGTCTCCCCCCAAATACATATATATATATATATATATAAATACTTCGCTTCGAGCAACCCCCCCCTCCCCTCCACACTCACGAGCTTACGACCGTTACAACAAATTCCTCCGCATCCTGGAGACTTCGACCCCAAATTCCCATCGGCCCTTTTGGACATTGAGCAAAATCAGACTGGCAAGCTGCTCTGGCGGGATACTGGCGGGATCCACTGGCGAATACTGGCAAGCCGCTCCGGCTCGACACTGGCCGGATACTCGGCAGAATCCACCGGCAAGGGACACTCACAGCGGGATACTCGGCGGGATCCACTGGCGAGCCGCTCCGGCGGGATACTGGCGGGATCCCCTGGCGAGCAGCTCTGCCGGGGTACTTGGCGGGATCCACTGGCGAGCCGCTCTGACGGGATACTTGGCGGGATCCACTGGCAAGCAGCTCTGGCGGGATACTCGGCGGAATCCACTGGCGAGCCGCTCTGGCGGGATACTCGGCAGGATCCACTGGCGAGCCGCTCTGGCCGGATACTCGGCGGGATCCCCTGGCGAGCAGCTCTGCCGGGGTACTCGGCGGGATCCACTGGCGAGCCGCTCTGGCGGGATACTCGGCAGGATCCACTGGCGAGCCGCTCTGGCGGGATACTCGGCGGGATCCACTGGCGAGCCGCTCTGGCAGGATACTCGGCAGGATCCACTGGCGAGTCGCTCTGGCGGGATACTCGGCGGGATCCACTTGCGAGCAGCTCTGGCGGGATACTCGGCGGGATCCACTGGCGAGCTGCTCTGGCGGGATTCTGGGTGGGGGCGTGGTGTAGAAGCATCGCAAACTCGGATTCCAACATAAAATCTAACAACCCCTTCCTGTCGGGCGGGGAAAAAACAAGAAAAGAAAAGAACAGGAAAAGACAAACAAACAAACAACCAGACAAACAAACAACAAACTAGCACACGCACACACTAAAAAACCGCAGCCCCCCAAAAAAACATAATACAAATAAACAAAAGAACACGAACCTTGGCGAAAGACAGACATTTGCTAAAAGAGGGTTGGTGTGTTTGGGCCAAAGGATGGCCGGCGTTTGGTTGGGCGTGCGTAAGCTTGCCTGGTGACCAGGACGCCACGAGTTGGTGTTTTTTTGGTCCAGCCTTTAGATTGACAGTCAAACAACTTGAAAGCTCAAAACAATCCAATTGTGGTAGCACCTCGAAAGGCCCCCGCCGCAAAGTGTAGTTTCTCCTCAGCTTCCCTTCAACAAAACTTCCAGATGTAGATGTTAAGCTTCCGGGCACGACCGGGACCTGCTCCATTTTGTGCGGTCTGTCGTTCACAGGCGCGAGTTTACAGGTGGGATGGACCTCCAGGTGTATAAAGTAGCATCCCAGAGGGTGTAGAAGAGCCGGCCCTGTGTGAACCGGCTGGCGTGCAAACCTCCCGCGGTGCAGGCCAATTCTTCCGTCTCCGCCCGGGCCCCGGGCACAGGTGTAGATTTTGTTTGCTGCAGCTGCAGGTGGCCGTTTTCATGTACGCAAGAACAAACAATTGCTGCTCTTTGGGACCTTTCGTGACTGCCGCCCCCTGCGCAAGAGGCCCCTACCTGGATGGTTATTCGATTGAATTGGGGCTTTTCTGGGGGGCGAAGTGTTTCCCGGACCAAAAGGCTCGGAATCCAATGCATGGTGGAAACAGACGGAATATTTGCCAGACGGGGATGCACACTCCAAAGACCCCAAGACGATACGAACTCACACAGGAGATCTTTGAAGGGAAGCTGCAAACCCATTTGGAGATTCAAAGTCCTGTTTGGACCGGAGACCAATCCATGAAAATTGTTCAGAGTAGTTGGATGGGAACGGAATATTGTTTTTTCTCCCCGAAAAGGATTCCAAGTCTTTTTACCCCCCCGCCACCCCCCAGCCACCTGAAAAGGGGTTGGTGGACTCCCCCAAATTGTGACCAAAATTGTGCCTAAAGACGCGCCAACTGGCTGGAGCTCCGCCCAGTCGCGAGGTGTGCCAGGAGGGCTGCGCCGCCATCATCGACAGCGGCACCTCGCTGATCGCGGCCCCGGCGGCGGCGCTCATGGAGCTGGGCCAGCAGATCGGGCACATCGCGGAGGCGGGTCCCCGCGGGCGGGGGGGATGGGGGGCATCAGACTCCCTTAAGCGGAGAAGCGGGAGGGGAGGGGGCGAGGGGTTTTTGCTTTTGTGGAAGGCTGGGATTTTTTCTTTTGGCCATGGATGGTGATGATAGAGGGGCCAAAGAGCCAAAGATTCAAGTCCCCAAAGTCGCTGGGCGGCTGATGGGCCTGGTTTGGAGGGGAAACCGATGTGGTTCTTGGGGTTGAGCACGGAAGCTTAAAACTAGGAGGGTTGCTACCAGGGTGATCCTTTAGATGTGTCCGGTTTCCTATCAGTGGTTGGCTTCTTTTTGGCATACTGACAGGTCCGATTTCGAATCGCCTAGTTGGGAACTCTCCACCCCCATGCTGGTCAAACAAACGGATGAAGAGAAAGTGGCAGCACTAGCACATGCACACCAGGCGCGTGAAAGACAAAGCAAACGGGGCTAGGGTCCTACTGTTTGCTTAGAAGTTTGAGTGTGAGTCTACGATGGAAATTGCCGCAGGACTGCTCCAACTTGCACGAGTTGCCCAACTTGCGCTTCAACCTGGACGGGCACGAGCTGGAGCTGCCGCCGCAGGCCTACGTCATGAGGCCAGATGCCTTGGCCCGGCATCCTCTTGCGCTTCCCCGTGGGTGCTGAATAGCCCAGAATTCTGGTCATTTCTTTCGAATGGAACTATAAATCAAATCATATTTTGCCCTTCCTCATTTTGATGATGATGCTATTTTGGTCCTGGAAGGGGCAGTACCCAGTAACCCCAGTACCAGTCCAAAACCATTTTTCCCTCGAAAAGGACCCCGCCGGCGGCTTTAACGCAATGGCTTCGAGCGAAGCCGCGCCCAGGGTGGTGGGTGCAAGCGTGGAGGCGGACAGCATCTGGGACCTGCTCTTCTTTAAGCCCAAGATCCGCAAGATCGACTCCTGCATGCCCGCCTTCATGGCCGGGGTCCCTGAACAGACTTGTGCGCCTATGGTCCATGGGTTGGGGCATTCTCGAAGGTCAGCCAGTATGTCCGGCTTTTTTTTTGCAGGTCCTGTGGGGCAAGAGCAAAGCTTGACCCTAACTCAATTGATCAGACCGAAACAAGCTCTCACCTTCACGGGGCAAGCCGAAGCGATTGGAGAGCTGACCTAGTGCCGGGAAAATGTTTGGATGCTTGGCCTGTTTTTTTTTCTCCCCTTAAGGACCCCTTAGCTTGTTTTCAGGGCTTTTTGGGACAAAAGAGGCTTTTTTTAAATGGTGGTGGCTTTAGGCGTCAACTTTTTGGGTTGCCTTGTCCCAGTTCGTGTGGTGCTTACTGGGTGGCGTGCGTTATAGGAAGACTGCTGGACCGAAACCAAATCGATTTGGTCAAGGCCCTCTTTGAACGATTCTTGGACTCCAAGTAAAGTGTGGAGTATTTGATACGTGCTTTTTTGCTTCTCCCGACGGCCATGGGTCGACCCGATACTCCCTGCGCGCGTTTGCTTTCTCCCTGGGTTGGGGCCGGGGGTCGCACACACAGAGAGAATTCAGCTTTCCTTTGATTTTCTGAGGAGATGGACATGAGCACCCAGCTGGGCCCCGTGTGGATCCTGGGCATGCCCTTCTTCCGCCCCTTGCTTGCAAGGTGATTTTAGGTGCATCCTCCAACCATGGACGTGGACAGAGGGGTTCCTCAAAAGGAACGCTCCTGTCAGCTTCCAGGATTGTTGGAGGGAGGGTAAGGGCCCCTGCATTTGGGCAAAAGATTGCCAACCCAGGCTACTACCACACCACCTTCAACCGGGAGCGCCAGGTCATGCGCTTCGCCAAGGCAGGTGAGGACTGCGAGCCCCAGTCCATTCGTGCCCGGGAGGATGGACACTCGAAAAGCAAAGAGGGGCGAGGAGGGGGCTGCAGGTCTTCGAATGGGCCGAATGGGCCGGTTTGGGAGAAAAACGATGGGATTCCATCGGTCTCAGTTTCGTCTTGACTGATTTACCATCGTTTACCAACATCGTTTTTTGCGCTGGGACACGGAGGGTGGTGCTCTCCTAAGTTGCCAGTTTTGGCTGGTGCAAACATAGCCTTTTGGACAGGCGACGTTCAATTGAGGTTGTCCTTGGCTCATGCCGCATGGGATAAAGGAACTGAATACACACACACACACACCCGACCAGGACCAAATGGCTGGACAAAAGGACCTTGTACATTGAGGGGGTTTGTAGGCGCCTTACTAGAAAGTATTGGGACATCACTTGCTTTTTGTTTGTGCGGGGGAGAAGTAATCTGACACACACACACACATACAAGCACACAATACAAGGGTCCCAGACAGCATGCGTTTAGTGAAGCAAACATGTTCTTTGGGCCAACCCGACCCCAGTGTGGAAAGTGGACGAGCGAAAGACGGAGAAACGAAACAAAAACACGCGACCAGAGTCCTACAGCGCATTGTGCAGTTAAATGTGGTCGATCTGCCTCCTGAAAGCTGCCACGTGCAGGGAAACCTGCAACAAAGGAAGTTCGTCTTTGCTTGAGAATAGCATTGTGGGATACCATGCAGGCACAACCTTGACATGTTTGTGCATCAGATACAAAGTCCGAGTTTTCTTGCTGGTAAGTCTTGATTTGGTTTTGCCATCAAGGACTCTTTGTCAATATTCTTACCACGCTGCGGCCTGAACCATTAAATTGGGGCGTTTCTTTTAGTTTTTGTCTGCGGGATAGCGATTTACTCAATGGGAATCTTGGATTCGGGTTACCCAAGTGTGCATCCTCTCGATAGCCTGCTTGTTTCAATCCCAAACCTGCTTTCTGACCTCAATGTGTTCTTGTCTTGGTTTCTGGGCGCAGGTTGGGTTGGAAGTTGGGGTTGAAGCAAGTTGTGGAGGGAGAGCTCAGGGACCCCTGCGCTTCATTTTTTCCCCTGCTGGTCCTTCCCTTGCGAGCCAGCCGGCGGCTTTGAGGCGACAACGTCTTCCTCGCCAGCCGTGCGGCCAGCGATGCGGCGTACAAGCCTCTGGAGGCGGGGTCGGTGGCGTTCCTCAAAACGGGTCGCGTCCGATGGGATGGAGCCCCATGAAGATTGGTGACCGGTGCCTGCGCAGGTGGACCTGAAGCAGGTGCTGCCGCCCCGCTTCGCTCTGCAGTACAGCCGGGAAGCCCAGGGCCGGCCGAGCCGCCCAGCCGAGGGAGACACCAGGACCAGGAGGGTTTGGTGGTTGTAATGCGGGTGAAACTCGGTTCTTCAAGTTGTTTCCGTCTTTCTGACGGTTCAGCACCCGCATCTCTCTCTGCAAAAACCCGCGTGGGGGAGACTAATAAGAAGCAACTGAAGAAGGGGCGGGGAGGTTGCAGAATAGAGCCTGGGTCTCCGCCGTACAACATGGGTTGGCGTTTGGCGCCTGGACCAACGCGTCGCAAGGCGACAGCCAGAAGGCCGACCTCGACCTCTGAGGCATTTGAGACCTTGAGGCGACAGCAACCAGGGGCCAGTTGATTGCTGAGAGGACTTGGCCTCCAAATGGTTTCCTCTTTCTTTTTCAGAGCCCCTGAATCCTCCAGAAACATGGGTTTCCCGTTGATGTCATTTTGGTCTTGGGACAAAAGGAGGTCCCTTCCACTGGGACACACCCAGCGGTTCCTGGTTTGCCCAACCCCCGGGGCCAAGCACCGCCCCATCGCGCGCGCTCGGCAAATGAGAGCAGGAAAAGGCGGCGGGTCGGCAGGTACAATGGGCCTGGCAAGCAGGGTCCTTGCAAGCAAAAACATACACATGTGTATATATATATACACAGATATGAAAATAAGGTACACAAAATAGAATTGCGTGTGTCTGTGTCTGTGTCTGTGTCTGTGTCTGTGTCTGTGTCTGTGTCTGTGTCTGTGTCTGTGTCTGTGTCTGTGTCTGTGTCTGTGTCTGTGTCTGTCTGTGTGTGTGTGTGTGTGTGTGTTTTGAACTAGCATTGGTTATATTGTTTTGTATGTGCGATTTATTCATATGCTTATTTGTTTATGGTTGTTTCTGTGTTGTTCAGTTTTTCATTTTGGAGGGACACCATATTTGCGCGTGGTTGAATATGTACATATTATGCGCTGATTTATTCATGTATGTACTTGAGTATTTGTCAATTAGTCCACTAAATGCTGAATGTTTTCATTTGTTAAGTGATCGATTTATATTTTATTTGTTTGGATATTTGCTTGTTTGCGTATTTGTTTGTGTACTTAGTTACTCATGTTTGTTGGGTTTATCTATTCCTCCGTTTATTTTCCGATGTGCTTGTTTATTAGTAAAATCGTATTGATGTTCTGTTGGCTCGTTGGTCTGCTTCGTAAGGCGCGTGTGCACATGCACATTGCGATGTAAACGCAAGCTGTCCCTACACTATAGATATACATGTTTGTTTATGTTTTCATATGCGTATATGCATGATAGAAGTGTACATCTCCCTGACCTATGCGTGTGTTGCACGTTCGGGTATTTTGAACATCACCTCTTGGAACCCTATCTCGCTTCCTTCTGGTGCGTGATGCATAGGGCGCCTGAACGCGTTCTGGCCCAAGGCTCAGCAATGAGCATCGCAGTCACCAGGCGAGCCAAGAAGCTTCCTTTACCTCACTTCGCTTTCTCACCCTTGCACCCTCACCAAGCACTAGACCTCCACACTATTTCAGCGGTGATCTGGTACGAATTTTGCTCGCCATCCTCATGGCATAGTCTACAGGCTCCACCCGATGTTTCTACCACCACATGACGCAGGTATATCTTGAGCAGTGTAACGAAGAGTGTAAACGATGTGTACCCCACATCGACTTACAACATATGAGCAGACGTAAATCTTTGCATTTTGCACACTTGAAGCGACCCCCCCCCCCCTTCCGCCCCGGCGACGTTTTCGCTGGTGCCATGGAGCGGCGGTGCTTTGAGAACCGCGGGGAGGCGCCGCTGTCGGCGGTAGGCGAAAGTGGGCTGACGGCAGCTGCGTGCCAGCGCCTGGAGGCGATGGAGAAGGAGATCTTGGAGGACAAGCGGTTTTGGGTGTACTGGACCTACAGGGTGTGTGCTTTTTTGAGTTAATCCTCAAAGTGGCACACGGACCCGTTTAACAAACACCCAGGACATTTCGTTGCTCGAAAGGAAGGTGGGCAAACAGAACGGGCGTGTCCCGGCTTCCTGCTTCCTGTTTCTGGGTCAGGCCAGTCGAGTGGCACCTGCCTGGTCTGCCTCGTTGCATTGCGGTTATGTCCCTTCCAGCAAACATGTTGGAAGGGTATTGCATCCCTTCCAAGTTGTGAGGAATGAGACTTTCTTGCCAATGCCGACCTGGCCCAGGACATTTGGCGGCACTTTGGGGTCGCCTGCAACAACGAGAGCGTTTACACAGGCTCAAAGAATTTCATGGGCGGGTGAGGTGTTGATAAAAACACGAATGTGGTTTGCATCATTTTGTTGTTTTTGGTCAATGTGCCACGTGGAGTTGTGATGGCGCCAAGCTGTTTGTCCGTGAGAGCCTTGGGGCAGGTGGGCCCGGCGTCGCCTATGCCTTCACCCGCGCTGGGGGCTCAAGCGCCCGGCAGAGGAATCAATCTGCCGGAGCTACAGCACAAGAAACTGCTTTGCTGGTCTGGGCAAATTTCTGGAATGTCAAACAAGGGTCTGAACATCTTGATTGCTGTTGCGTTGGATCTTCAACCTTTGACACTTTTGGGGAGAATGTCTTGTATGCTTCCAGACATGGGCGACTCGGAGACTGGAACCATCTTGAGCTACTCAATGGGCTGCTTTGCGTTGCGTCGCAGGTCGCTTTGGAGATGCGTATAGTTTTCAGTTCACCTCACCTGGCAAAACAAACTTCCAACCTGCCTCAACTTGGTCTGCCACGTTGTCGCTTAGGCATCCATGGGTTTCTGTCGAAGGGCAAGAAAGAAAACCACCCAAGAGGGTTAAACCTCGGCGTTTCTCCCTCCCATGTGGCGGCTCGTGAGCGTCGTAAAGCTGCCCCTTGGCAATCGGTTTCGAGCCCGAGGCCGCGGCGCTGGGGAGCCACGGGGACTTGCAATGTTTGGACAAGGCCCGGCGCTTCCTGGAGCCCTACGACGGGGTCACTGCCAAGCAGGCGGATGGGGGTGGAGCGGGATGGGGAGACTTGTCTACTATGCGCTTTCCCCGGCGCGAAATCAGCAAGTGGACTATCGCTTTTTTTCTTTACAGGGAGGGGCATGCCTGAAGCGTCTGAAACCAGGTAGAATTTGCTTTCCTTTAGGCGGGTAGAAGTCCAGTCTCGAGAAGGCAGGTTCCGCAGCAGAGGCCCCCCTTGATTTTGTACGTTTTTAGGTTGTGACTCAAAGGAGGGGCGAGTCCCGGCTGTCCACGCGCACACGGCCGGCAGATGGCTTGCACCACCCATCGGACATCTAGGCCCTGTTGAATTTTTCTTTAGGAGGCTTGGATTTCCCCGACCTATTTGTTCGTGGTTCGGCCAACTTGTTTGGCCCCCCCTCTGTTGAGCGTCACGGGATCCCCCCAAAATGCGGGACGACGACGGCTCGGATGATGCAGGGATTTATCCCCAGATGTGAGGCGCCCACTCGCTATGGCCTGACGACATTGCTGGCGTACCATACTAGATCAGTCTGAATTTCATCCGCTCGCCAAGTACTCCTAAACAGGGACTGCGGGACAGCGCTAGGAAGAGAGAGAGAGAGAGATAGAGAGATAGAGAGAGAGAGAGAGGGGAGAGACGCGGGGATCTGTGAAGGCCGCGCGCCGTCCGGACATCGCCTGCTCCCTCCAGTGCGGGCGTGCGGGCTTCCTCTGCGTGCACCTGCTACTGGCCAGCGCTGGCGGCGAGGGCGAGGCGGACAAGCGGAGCCTCGGCTTCCCCACCTCCCAAGAACGGAGAAATGTGCTCAGAAAACTAGCGCAGAGAAACTTGCAGAGTGGTCCTGCGCAGAGAACTAGCGCAGAGAACGTGCTTCGCTTTTCGTTTTGTTGAGGTGCCCGAAGGAGGGGGGGCGCCACTGTAGTGGGTGGTATCCGGAAAAGGTCCCTTTCCTTACCCCATTGGATGGGTTTGGGTGGGTGTGAGCTTAGCTGGTTTGGGTTTGGTCTGGGTGGACGGGGTGCGGTGGGATTGGGTGAGGCCGGCCTCAACTTCCTGTATTCCTGCTTGGAACTTAGAGGGCCCCGGTTGAAGGGGCTGCGGGAGATCGAATCCATTTGCCCGGGAGGGGGGGGGGGGTTTGAGGCCACGGGTTGCTCAGGCAAGCTTTCGCAGAGTTCCTGGCTCTGTCGCGGGTGGCTCTCAGCTCTCAGCTCGCTGCGGACGAGTGGCTCTACGGGAGGGCTGGCTATCTGCACGGGTGCCTTCTCTTCCAGAAGGCCGGTGCGCTCACACGCAGTGAATCAATTTGGCGGCATGGATAGCAAAGCGCGATGAAGGGAGGGGATGCCCACGGGCATCCCAGATTTCCAGAACATCTCCACCTCTCCCGGAATTGTGGGGCAGGTCTTGGGCGAGGACGCCCAGCTGAAACGCACCATCTCCGATCTGGCGCGCCTGATGCTCGCCCGCGGGGTGGAGAATGCGCGCCACAACTTCCGGGGGAGCCATGCGCCCCCGGCGGCTCGGTGGGTTTTGGTGCGCGTTTCTGCTCCTTTTGTTAGTCAGGGTGCCCTAGATTTTCCTTTCAAGGGCTGTTTCAGACGTCTCGTTTTGATCCAAGGGTGGGGTTCAAAAATAACCCCTCATGGGTGACCCCTTGGCAAGCTTTTTGGTTTTTCATAGGACCCCTCTTTGTGAGAATTTTGAATTGGGTGTCCCTTGTTTTTATGTCAAGCGACAAGAACAGGTTGCTGTTTTGGGTCAAGCGAGGTGATGTGGGAGTGGTACCGGGAGCGGTACATGGGGGCAGCCCACGGGGTCGTGGGCATCATTTTCATGCTACTGCATGTGCCAGAGCTCTTGGAGGCGGATTGTGGGTGGACTTGGCGTCAGTTGAGTGTGTGAGTGTGGGACCACAAACTTTTACAGTTATGAGGGGTACATGTCGGTATGTCTCAGGGGTACCTACTCCACGGGCAAGCGGTTGAGTCCCCACATGAGGAAACCCACGGGTCTGTTTCAAAGTGGGGAATCCTGAAAAACAGCCCATTCCATTTCCAAGAATCCTTCGAAAACACCCACATCATGCGTACGAACAGTATGAACCCATAGTTCATGGGTTGGTTGACCATAGGGTATGACTGTTGCAGCCCATGTCAATCCCCAAAAAGGGCAATGGCCCCTGAAGAATTTGATCGGTCAGTGTGGGGTTTTACATCCATTGCATCCGCAGTGTGGCTGTTCAAGCGTGAAAATGTGCGAGCAGCGCACTTGGACGGTTTGTTGTTTCCTTTTGGGCCCCAAACCGGTAACCCTTGAATCTATAGGTTATCAGCCGTAGGCCCCTAGCTCTAAGCAATGGACGGTTCCCTTGTGCCAGTTGATGGATCCAACATGCCTGTGGATGCTGCCGGAGCTAGCTCCGACAACGCCACCGGCGGCGGTGTGCGAATGTTCGCATCAAGCGCTAATGCGCAGTACAACCGCACCCTGATGAATTCCCTTCAACTGTACAATACCGCAATCTTTGCTTTTGGGAATGATGCAGCCATTAGGTCTGAAGCCGAAGCCCTGCATCAAGCAGCTGTCACGCATTTGCAAGCGGAAAACCGTGAGGAGCTCCGTGTCGCACAGAATCAGCTGCATGCACACTATGCTGAATGTGTGCAAGCCCAGTCGCATAGAATTCGTGAATACGAACAGCGAGTGAGCGATGAGTTCATTCAAGAAGTGAACTTCGCTGAAGCTAGGATAAGCCAAGTGTGTGAGGAAAATGCCCAAGCATTGCATGAAGCGGAAATGGGACACAAAACAACTGAGTTTAGGCAAGCCATCGAATCCACCCTGGCGGAAGCCCAGCAGCTCCTCCATGAGCAAGCTGCCAAGCACGCTGATGACACAGCCCGTGTCGAAGCGAAAAACGCCAGGACGATTGACATGATGGCCCACCAAAACGGGCTTCTGCAGGACGAGCTTGATGAGCTGAAGAAGTATCAGAAGCAACACGACCTCCGCGAGGATGGATCGAAGCCCAAAGGGGTAGGTGATACCCGAGAGGATTCACCAGAGTTGATGACCGACGACATGAAGTCAGCTCGGTCCCAAAGGTCAATGTTGGACCCGTTGACCCATCCGTTTCAATATGCAAAGGAAAAGTTGAGGTCGCTTGTTACCTATGACGGTTACGGAGGATGAATATACCCCTAGCGTGATTCCAACTGCCGAATGCGAAGCACTGCCCGCAGATGCTCGCGATCCGCAAGGACCAGCTGAAAAGCCATCAGGTAGCAGCCGATCCCCGGTGAAAACAAGTGCACCGGTCCCACCCCTGCAGTTCTCTCAGGGGCCAATGTCAACTGACCGCAAGCAGGGTGGCAAGCCTCCCGGCGGTCCGCCACCTGATGATGATGGCGATGGCGATGGTGATGAAGACGAAGGTGATGGCCTCGGGCCTAACCTCGGCCAAGAAGCATTCGCCAAAATGTTGATGAAGTTAGTAAAGGGCCACACGAACGATGAAAAGCCCAGAACCCGCGAAAGCGAGACGTTGCGATTCAAGGAGATGCCAACTCCTGAGACGTACCGTGAATGGAAAACATCGGTTCGTGAGGACGTCCGCGCTGCATCTGACCGTCCAGACGAGGCTTGGCCTTGGATCATGGAAGTCTGGTCCGATCGCGAGGACAAGAAGAAGCTGTTGGAGGAGCTCGGCGAACCGGGAAAATTCGTGACCCTAGACACGAAGATTCTCGCAGCGCTCACGCGTTCAGCGAAAGGCGATCTGGCTCAGCGAATCCTAACAGCAAAGGAAGAATGTGCCAAGGAGGGAAAGGCCATGAGAGGAAGGCAGGTCTTGTTTATGTTTGACCAATATTTCAAGACCAGTGAAGAAGCCGGAAACCTCTACTCCTTGGAGGACCTGTTGCGTGTCTCGCGACACGGCGAAGGAATCATTGATCTCAAACGTTTCCTAAACGCTTGGGATTCCGTGATCGCCGGCATGAAAAGGCCGCCGGAAGAAAAGGTGTTGAAAGACATCCTGCTTCGCCAAGTGAGAAGCTGCCATCTGTTGCGGTACGACATTGACACATATGATCGTTGCCGTGATGATGATCCCAACAAATCGTACGATTTCCTAATGCGTTGCATGAGGGATCTAATCGAGAGGGATAGGCTCCGCGAGAACCGAGAGCGCGTGTCCAAGGTCAATGCCAGTAAAGCCCCAACGCCCAAGGCTGGTGCTGCCGCCCCTGAAAAGAGGGACCCCAAGAAAAAGAGCGCACCTAAGCCGAAAGACACCGAGGAAAAGTACTGCTTTGACTTCCAGAAGGGCTCGTGCACGAGGGGGGCAAACTGCCCTTACGCGCACCGCAAGGAGCCGCGAGGACGCTCCGCGACCCGCGGCAGGCCAAGTTCCCCCAAAGGCGGTAAAGGAGAGAAAGCACCGTGTTCTTTCTTTGCCCAAGGGAAGTGCACTAGAGGTGACAAATGCAAGTTTAGCCATGCCTCCACGGGCGGCAAATCTGCCGCTGCGGCATCGAGCAACGAGGCCAACGCAAATCCTGCGGCCAAGAAGCGTGCAAATTCGCCTAAGCCTAAGCCCAAGGCCAAGGCCGCCGCAGTATGCACTAGGTACGCCATGTTTGCCAAGCCGATCAATCCCATTGGGGTGTCGTTTGACACCAACGCTCATGTGCATGAGATCCCCGCCGAAGGCGATGGTTTCAAGCTTGAGTATGAGGAACGGCAGTATAACAGGATGTTTCCAAATGCTAAGGACTGCCCTAGGCCGACCAAAGGGACTAATAAGGCAGCGCGCAAGGCCGCGAACCAGTTGAGTGCCGTAATCAAAGCCATTGAGGATGGAGCCCAGCCCGCTTGTGGTTTCATGTGCGATGTGGAATCCGATTCCATCTCAAGCCTATCGTGTGATGAGTGCCTGAGAATTGCCATGCCGCCTCACGATGTTCGCAAGGATGTCGAAGCGCCAAGGGCAGCCACCCCTGCACCAAAGGGAAAGGACGTGTGGCTTATTGATTCCGGTAGTGAGCAGGACCTCATCAGCAAAGCTGCACTGAGGAATGCGTCCAAGGCAATTCGGAAACAGGCACCTCAGCCTATTCGCCTTGTGACTGCAAACGGAAACATTACTGCTTCCGAAATCGCCGACATCAATGTCGATGCATTGTGTGAGCCTGCTCAGCCTTACATCCTCGAGAGTTCTCCCGCAGTGCTGTCGCTGGGTGTGAAGTGTCTGGATCAAGGATATTCCTTCCATTGGGAATCCGGGAAGGCGCCAACTATGGTTCGCCCTGATGGTGCTCTGATCCAGCTCAAGGTTGATGGTCATGTGCCATACATGGATTCCAGCTGTGAAGCTGAGCCATCGTTGAGTGCAGTAGCAGCATCCAAGCCAGCGCCTGCACTGGTTCATGACGAAGGCATCGACGAAGGTGATGATCCCGACGACGAAGTTGAGCGGTTTGTTAGATCCCGCAAAGAGCAAGATCTGGTTGCCGAAGCGAGTACCAAAGAGCACTTGTTTGCACACTATCCGAAGAATCCCTTTTGCCGCACTTGCCAACGTGCCAAGATGCTTGCCCCATATGCAAGATCGAAGGGCGGGCAGGGAAGGCTCGAGACGAAAGCGTTTGGAGATCACATCATTGCAGATCATGTGGTTCTCAAGGCCAACATTGAGCAAGGTATCAAAGGTGAATGGTGTGCTCTTGTGATCAAGGACGTGCATACGCAGTTCAGGTACGTTTACCCATCGACCAGCAGAAGCACGGAGCAATCCGTTGCAGGGATCCAGCATTTCATTTCCGGTAGGGATGAGGTTGAAGTTCTCTACACCGATAACTCCCGGGAATTGAAAGCCGCAATAGAGCAGTTGGGGTACCGTCATCAGACCTCCATTGAATATGTTGATTCTTCCAAATCTTTCGTGGAAAGGGAAATCAGACATCTGTTGGAGGGAGCACGTGCGAACCTTGTTCAGTCAGGGTTCCCACTGTCGATGTGGCCATTTGCTATCCAGCACAATGCAGTTGCGACCAACATCCTGCCACAGTTGAATGGAAACGATTCGCCATGGTACCTCAGGTTTAACAAGACCTTTGATGAAGCTGAGATACCTTTTGGAGCAAAGGTACTGTTCTGGAACAACCCTGCACGAGCTGACAATCAGGCAGGCAAGACTTCGCCAACATCAAACGAAGGCGTGTTTCTCGGGTACCACATTCAGCCCGGGTTCGCATGGAAAGGTGAGTTCCTTGTTGCAAAACTAGAAGGGCTCGATTACCATATCGAACATGCGTCCCTCACGGTACAGCGAACAAAGCGCATTGAGCTTCCGACTGATGAGTTCATCTTCCCGATGAGGTTGTTGAAAGACCCTGCATCTCATCCACCTGTTGCCAATGCTAGGACACGAGATGATCCTGTGCCGTTGGAGCGTGGGCAAGCCCACATCGAGGAACCCGCCGCATCGGAGAAATCCGAAGCGAAGATCAAGCCTGTCGTGCCTGACAAAGGCGGTGCATTCGACCCAAGCATAATGCCTGATGGGTCACCAGTACCCGATGGCTATGTGTGGGATGGGGTTCGGCTCGTCCGTAGGAAGGCTGGATCCAAAAGGCCTCCTGATATCCCGTCCGACATGTGGGTCATGCTCGGCAGCCAGGACCGAAAGGCCCTAACCCAGCAGTATGAAGATCAGCTCCGTGCAGATGCCAAGAAGGCTGTTCTCGAGACAGCAGTCTCATCGGAGGCCAGATCCGAGCACCCCGAAGCCGCATCGAGTGCAAAGCCGACCAGCGCCGCCCGCGAGGGCGAGCCGACATTGCCTGTGATCCGGCACGCGC